CTACTTCTGAAATAGGAAATTAATTGTTTTCAGAAATCGGTTAATATTACAAAATGGAAAATACTATTGCCGAAAAAAAAATTAACCTCAATAACTAACAATGTTTAGTATAAATGCAGAATAAAAACACGAAATCAACCATTTCGGTTCTCGTTACGTTCTCACTGACCAAAACATAAAATTATGGTTTCAGTTGCTAGTTGGCATTAGAACCCGTTTTCTATTAATTAGTCGATAATGTCCATATGCGGATAGAAGTTATAAACGCACTTGCGCAACTTGAGAAATCTTAAATACTTGGTGTCGACAAAACAGAGATTTAGATTAGATTTTTCTTCTTTTACTAAATACAAATTAGGTTTAATAAATTGTTTATTACAATATAAACAATCTGAATTTCTTGGCTGATTTTACGCTAATTTTCGGTAAGAAAAAAGTCCATTTATCATTTTATTGGTTTATCCCGAAGTCAATTATTTTTAAAAATTCTTTTTAGAGAAGCTGTTCAACTTAACTAGACATACTGCAGCTAAATTACATTTGTTTATCGTACAAGATGATAAATTTAAAATAACAGGGACGAAAATGATCATCAAAATTTATCATTTCCATTTAAGTTTTTTGATTTTGAGGCTAAATATAATACTAAGTTTATTTATAATTGGATCGGCACAAGATTACGTGACACAATCTTTTAATATTAGACCAAAATGACCAAAATGAATGAGACATTTTGCTGGATATTTAATCCGAAGTTTACTAATATGGTTTCCTTTTTAGAAATGAATGAATAAAATTTTTATAATATAAAAAGATACGCTACACCTTCTCTCATAATTATTTTATTTCATCCAAAGCATAAAAATGGAAATCAATTTTATTCAGACGCAAGCATATGTTGGCTTTTGGTTGGGAGCATCTATTATGGTAAGATATTAATTTTAAAATAAAATTTTGATTAAAGACTAAGCAGAGAAGTTCTAAACAACAATAATCTTGAGTCTAAAGTAGAAGAACTCTTAGGTGTTAAATGTTAATTAATGATTTACTACTTTTATCCCTTTTTTATAGATATGCATTCACAACATGATAGTTTCGATAATTTCATATAAAATACGTAAAACACACGCTTCAAGTATTCTTAAAATTATTTTCAATTTTGGTCAAATTGTGCGCAATTCTGGAGTTGTTGGCATTTATATAACTCCAAAAGTCCCTACAATCCTTCAATGCGCTGCCTCTTTATACATTACGTATATCGGAAACATCATATCGAGATTATCATTAACAGCTTTCTTATTATGGAGGATAAGGCAAATAGATATGAAAAGAAAAGTCTGGGATAAACGGATATGCATTTTATTATTTGTAATTAGAACTGCATTTACGGTAAATTTTCTTTTAAAATATGATATTTTTCTTCCTTTCTCTTTTTAAAAACAAATAATAACTGAGTATCGACATCAATGATTATTTTTATAGATCCCATACCTAATTTTCCAACAAATAACTACCCAATATGTATCCGAAAGTGAAACATCTATTTGTTCTTACGATTATCTTAATATTGCCCCTTACGGTATTGGAGGAATTGTCACGGACTTTTTAATTGATACATATGTGACCACACGTTTAATCCTTATTTTAAAAAATGCCAATAAAAATGCTTCTCAATTGTCTTTAAATATTAGAAGCAAGAGAACATTATTCACAGCTGTTACGTACTGGAATTTTTTACGATTGATAATATCTTTCATCTTTCATCTTTTCGCTATTTTGGATATATTTTATCTTCTAGAAGAAGGTCCATCGATGACTGTAAAATGCATAATATACATTTTGCTATCTTACGTAATCACCATTGATGCTGAAATTGTTCATGTCATTGAGGGTAAAGGTCAACAGAATGGATCGTCAACAAAGACCGTGAAATCTATCCAAAGTACTGATGATCATATATCATCTACTTTATCCTCTAGCGATCAAACTCACAGCCAAATTATTGATAATGATAAAATAATAGTTGTGTCAATGAAAAAATTATCATTCTTCGAATGTGCAAGCACTGTATTAAAAAATGAGGATGAGAATGATGAGAACCATGGGGATGATGAGATTAAAGATGATGATGAGATTAAAGTTGATGATGAGAGTAATGATGATGATCAAAAAATTAATGACACATTAAAAGAATCTTCAAATATGGAAATCATTATTCATTAATTAATACTGAATAATAGACTTTTGTAAATATTGTATATTTATATATAAGATCTCAATATATGTATTTTCCTAATTATTTATTATTTTAATCAACCAATATATTGAATCGTTTTTATAATTTTTTAAAAGTAATTAAAAGTAAAGGTTTATAAATTCAAAGAAATATAGAAGATTTTAAATCAAATGTTTAAACCACAGGTCGATAATTTTCTTAGGAAGTGCGAGTGCATGATTCCTATTGATTATGCTATAATTCTGTGCAAATTCTTATTAAATCACAAATTAAGCTTCCAAATTAGCAGAAACATTATCTATTAACTTTCTTGAAGGTCCTAAATATATATATATTTTTTGTTATGTTAATATTAATACATTATTTGTATATATTTGTATATCTAAAAGAATGCATTAATTATCTTTTTCTATATTAAACTGTGATCAGAATAAAATTATCATCATTTTCGCATTGAAAAGTTGTTTAGAAAATAAAAACTTACACAAAAGAAATTGAATGGAAATTTAAATGATGAATTCATATGAAGAAAGTGATGTCATTAATTGTAAAAAATAATTTTACAAGTTTTAATATACAGCTAAAAAAAAAAAAGTAAATAAAGATATGAACAATGATATTGTTTTTCCTATAAATTTTTTCCTATGAATATACATTAAATATCATACGTAAATAAAATGTATATTAAGACCCCGAAATATACATAAAAAGGTCGGTTCGAGTTCGCGTACAACGAGCCCAAAAAAAAAAATCATGAAAATCTTTCCTTTTATAGATAATGACTTGTGTAAATCTGTTACCTTTTTTGGATACTGACCGAAATTATCATAATTCCGGCCCTGAAAAATGAGGACAGCTAATAATAATAAAAATCTTTTGGCTGCCTTTGACCCTTTATATATATTTTGGAGTCCTAGCATACATGCACATCCTGCATACCATGCCGGTGGGAAATAATGAACTCCGCAAATTTTGGAACCATGCTTGATATAAATGAATTTCAAAATAAAATATAATAATTTTTATTAATAATAGGAAATGAAGAAGTGCGGTTGCCCAAAAAACCCCAAAAATACATTTTCTTGAAACTATTCATTTTAAAATTATTGAGTTGACGTTTATTTAGAAAAAAATTCTAAGAATTTTCTATTTTTATCTTTTCTAAATTCGTTGATCGACCGGTCAGACAATACTACTTCTGAAATAGGAAATTAATTGTTTTCAGAAATCGGTTAATATTACAAAATGGAAAATACTATTGCCGAAAAAAAAATTAGCTTTAATAACTGAAAATGTTTAGCATAAATGCAAAGTAAAAACATGAGTTCATACCATTTCGGTTCTCGTTACGTTCTTACTGACCAAAACATAAGGTTAGGGCTTCAGTTGCTAGTATTAGAACTGGTTTTTTATTAATCAGAATGATCATATGATCTTATGTGATAAATCATAAATGCATTTGCGTAACTTGAGAAACCTTAAATGCCAGATTTTTTTTATAATAAATACAAATTAGGTACAGTATAATATGTTGTTTATTACAATATTAATTTTAGATGCCTGGTATGTTAAACAACCTGAATTTGATATTTTGGCTAATTTTACGTTAACTTTCGGAAATAAAAAAGCGCATTTTTCATTTTATTGGTTATCCTGGGGTCAATTATTTTTACAAATTCCTTTTAGAGAAGCTGTTCAACTTAATTAGATTAAGTTAAAAACATATGGCAGCAATGTTACTGTACATTTGTTTATGCGTACAAAGATTATAAATATTAAAATAACGGAGACTTGTAAATAAAAAATGATCATCACACATAGTACACATTTCCGGATTAAATTTTTTTGGAGGGCTGAGTATTTCTAAGTTCTTTTTTAAAAACAATAATTGAGATTGGCACAATGCATACTTCCAGATTATATGACTGAAATGCCCAAAATAAATGGATTATATAGTTAATTATTACAATTACAACGCAGCTGTGATTACAAGTACGTGAACACAATATCATGTACTCATGTACTCACGTGTACTCACATGTACTTACAGAGTTACAGTATATTTGACGAAACTTAAGAAAATATTATTAAAAGCCAAACTGCACTACTTTATTCTTACATTTCTAAAGAGTTATATTAAATTTTCATTCTTAAGAGAAACCATTATTGCTAGAATTTTTACCATATTTCAATATAATATATAAAACATAAATTAATAAAAAAAAAATAACTGGTATATATATAAAAGAAAAAGTTGCAATTTTCTTGAAAATTGCTTTTGTTTATTGAAGAATTGAATAATTAACAAAAGTATAAAAGAAAACGCGATAAAAATATAATATTTATTGTTAGGTCTTTAATTAAACTTTTCTAAAATACACATTACAAAATATTATGATAAAGTATATTCCTGTAAAAATTAGATTATTGTAGTCGGACTATAATGTAATCAATAGAGCACTTCCTTTTCTACTCAGTTTTAGTTTTAGTGATTAATAGGAGACGAATTGGTTTACTATTATGTTTCAATTATTAACATATTACAACTTGTATAAAGAAGTGATCATAATTATATTAATTCCAATAAAACTACCTATTCATCTTTAATAATTTTTTATATTATTAATTAATGCTACAACTTATATTTATTTAGTTTAAACACTTAATAACCTATATTTTATAAGCATAGAAAAAGAATTTACAAGTAATGTAACGATATTGGATTTATTTAATTTCTCAAAAGTACAGGTTATTAACACGCTATTTAATTTTCATTTAACTCCTTTTCTTTCTGTGCAATTTCTAATTTCTTTAATTGATTATCCAATCTTTTTCGTTCTAATTCTTCCTTACGTTCTTCATATTCCAACTCTTAAATTCTTTTTTGAAATTCTGAATCATCCTTAACACTCACTTTCTGCCTTTTGTTTGGTAATTTTGGAATTTGGGTATTTTTTCGTTTTTCTAAAGATAATAACAGATAAGTAATAAGAATTAAGTTTAATTAAAAATATATTAATAATTACCTTTTCGCTTATTAGCCTCTATTTTTCGTTTTGTACCACTTTTATCCTTGCTTGACATAGGGATATTATACTGCTGGTAGTTATGAAAACGTCTATATAATGTTAGATCATAGTTCCATGAACTAAAAAATAATTTTGTTAATAATTATAAAATATATTAAAAGATTATTTAATTAAAATAACTTACTGAAATATTGCAGTTTTTAATCTCAATCGCGTCCCTTCTCTATTTACATTTGCATGTGAACATTCGGATACATTAGTATCAAAAGGGGTAGTCATCCAAATATCATGATCCATTAATGAAAAATTGTGATTTAGTGATGCTAAGATCCATGGTGTTTGGTATTCAGCTATCCAATCTATTTTTTAGAAAATTATATTAGTGACAAACTGACAATATAAATAATCCAAATTTAAATTATTTACCGTTAATTTTTTCATCACCAATAACCTCTAACTGCTCAAATATAAAATTCACGTCATCTTTGGTTTTGGCTTTTGGAAGCTGACGCATTAAAAACTTGCTTTCATCAGAATATTTAGAATTTCTTACATTTCTATATTAATACAAATAAAATAATTATTAACAATTGATTTGTAAATGAATAAAAGAAACTTATTTTTACCTTTCAAAATGAACTAAACAAGACTTTAAAGTATAAAGTAAATGTTGCTCAGCACTTATAGAATTACATAAAGAATTTAAAGCTAAAGATAATCCTTTAGCTTGACCTTTATCAAGATCCACAATTATAGCTGCCCATCCTTTCTTTTCTGAATTAAAATGATAAAAAGTTGGCTTTTCTCCTGTTAAATTTTCATAAACTTCAAAAAAAGTCATAAACATGCATTGGTATATTTTAGAATCACTTCCATTTGTAAAAATTCTACAAAATGTTACAACTAAACAAAAAAAAAATTATTAATTTACATTTAAAATTAAAATTAAAGCTGAGAATTTTAACTACTTACTGCTATGATTATCTTCATCATAAGCATTAAACTCAAATTCATTCATTTCTCCAAATACACGTTTGTATGACATATCTACCATAAAATATTTGAATTTTGACATATGAATAGCCTGTAGTTCAATCATACATAAAATTACAACGTTTCACTATCTGTGAATACTAGTAAAAATAAATAATAATAATAATTATATTATTATCTTCAAAATTTATTAACAGTTAAGCATTTTTTAATTTAATACTTACTAATTCTTTGAATATAATCACGTAAATTTGCTTCATTTTGATTAAAAGCATGAACTACTCCCATAATTCCTTGTCCATGTGGATGTAATAATCTCTGTTCTTTCATTACAATATTACGAAGTTTATCAATATTATTCATTGAAGCATGAATATCTGATAAGACAATTTCTCCAAAAACAGCTTTTATTAATGGGCCTTTTTAAAAAACAAATTTAATTATTAACAATAAAATAAAAGAAAAAGAAAAATCAAATATCTTATACCTGAAATTAATTTTCGTGGAGTAGTATCGTTTAAAAGATCATTTGAATTTTTAATTAAATTTTTTACATTTTCTTGTAAATGAACAGGTATTCGATGAGGAGGAGGTGGTGGATGTGAGTGAGTGTTTTTTACAACCATAACTATATATGGACATGATTCTAAATCTAATGGTTCATATTTATGGAATATGACATTACATCCAGTTTTTACAAGTGGTAATGCTTCAATTTTTCCATCTTTAACGTGAGGAATTGCTATATAAAAATAGGAAAATTTATTGTTTAAAAAATATTAAACATTGATGATTTTAATAATTACTTACGACACTCCTGTTTTTTAGATGCACTGGGGATAATAGTAAAACATTTTTTATCATCCTATATGAATAAATAAATAAATATTAGAATTTATTACAAAATAATAAAACTGAAAAAATATTAAATTACCTCAATTGTACTAATTCGTTCTTCATTTCTAAATAATTCTTTCAAAAGATCTTCATCAATGTTAGGTTTACCACTTATATATCTATGTCATGTGCCAAAGGTATATAAACTGCAACCAATAAAGTACTGATTGATGTTACATCTATTAGTTTTGTGATATTTTACCACAGGTTTTCCATTACACGTATAATTATTATAACAACATTTAGTTTTAATCGCAGCAAGATATTCCCTTCAGTTAAAATTGAAAAATTTGATTAAATTATTATTTGTAAATATTCAACATGAAATAAAAACTATAATAACAAATAATTACTCTTGTGTATTTAATCGAATTTGATGTAAAGAAGATAATGTAAAGAAGCTGGGATTTCTTGAAGAAAAGTCTACATCGGGATCTACTACAGTATGAGTCATGTTTATAAGATCAGGTGCAGCAATACTGCAGAACTTTACACCTTGACAAGTTTTTTTTTCATCTTTGCACTTTACTCCCAAAAACAGGCAAGGGACATTAGAATGAGCACCACTAGGCTTTCCAAGACTATACTGAATCTTAAAATAAATAATAGTAAAAATAATTAGCAATATTAATTTAATTAACAATTAAAAGACAAAATAATTAAAATAAACCTCCATCATTTACATCACTAAATACAGCCTTTTTATTAGTCCAGTTTTCAACGTGAAAAACATTTGCAATTCCATTGTTTGAACTATCAGGATATTCAATGGGAAATAAAGAATGGCGAATATCAGTTATATGATATATAGTATTGATTAAAGCTAATGTTTTCTCCAGTTTTTCCTCATTATGAACAAGTTCTCGTGGCAATGAGAACTCTTGATCTTCACTCTAAAATAATAGGAAACTTTTTAAAATCTTGTATTATAAATATTAAAATATTAAATTATTTTACCTCAGAACTAATGTTAATGATTTCTAAATCAGTTGTTTTTTCTAAATCAGACATTTTAGTTTTGTAGATAATTTTTTTAAATTTGTTTTTTTGCGAATATGAAAATGAAACAGAATATGAAAAAACGCGATTGAAAGTAAAATTGAAAAGTTTTTGAACGCGTTTGAAACAAAACTTTATTGTAAAAAGTTGGTATAACCATGTTTATACAATTTCTAAAAAAGTTGTTGAAAATAATTTTTATAGATTTATTAGTTATATAATCATCAAGATCATTTCCATAATTAAATGTTATTAAAATGTTAAAATTCTAAAAAATACAGTAGCTGTGAATTTATTTTGTAACCGAGAAGTATTCAACTCACCTAAATTGAAAATTAACTAACCAAAAAAAGCGTAATGATTAATCAAGAATCCACAATGATGTAATTTACTTCAGATATCAAATGATCGTATAAAAGATACAGTACATATCGGCTAATACAATAATATAAAAATGATCTAAAAATTTTTTAACGGTAAATTCCTTTTTGGTTTCATTTGTGTTATTTGAAACTGTTTAAAAAACAAAAATAAAAAAGAATAAATATTAAACAATAAAAAAGCAAAAAAAAAATTTCTATAAAACACTTAACTCAGTATCCTAAAACATTTCTAAGAAGGTGATTCGTAATATATGAAATCCTTGCTTTAATGCTTTGTTTTTGATATGATAATCATAACAGTGTGAAAAATATATCTCATTCATTATTTTATTTTTGGGTTTAATGGGACTTATATTAGTTCTACTTGGTTAATAATTGTAGTGATATATTTCTTTATTTCCTTGATTAAGCTTTAAGAAATCCAAGCACACATTTCTATAAATGAAAGAATAAGTTAAATAAAAAGACAACGTTAAATAAAAGGAAATGTTAATATTATGAATATTAAAAAAAGTTGAATTACTTTGTCAATTTTAAGAGTCCAAAAACGCCAGCATTTCTGTAAATAAAGAAAAATGGTACGTTTAAATAAATTGAATAAATTTAATAAAAAGCACGCTGAATTGCCTTTTGAAAAAAAAAAAAAAAGTTTTAAAAAAATTTGCCGAAACTGGGTCGTTATACAGCTAATACAATTAATGATTGGTACGTGAGTACGTGAGTACAACGATTGTATTACGTACTCGTGTAGTAATTTCAAGTCATATGACTACATAACTACGTGATTACGTAACTATGTGATGTGTACTCATATGTAGTCGTAATCACAAGGGTGTTGTAATTGTAATAAATAAGTAATTACCGAAATAAATGTGTTCCGAATTTTATCAAAGTGGATTGACCCTATTGATATTATTCATTCTCTTTTAGAAAATGAATGAATAAAATTTTTAGAACTTAAGAAGATACGCTCCACATTCTCTCATAATTATTTTTTTTTTTTCATTCAAGTCTAAAAATCGAAATGAATTTTATCAGATTCAAGCATATGTTGGCTTTGGAACAGCTATTATAGTAAGATATTAATTTTATAATAAAATTTAGATTAAAGACTAAGTGAAGACCTTGAGTCTAAAGCAAGAGAACTCTCTAGTGTTAAATGTTAATTAATGATTTTACTACTTTTATCCCTTTTTAAAGATATGCATTCACAATATGATAGTTTCGATAATTTCATATAAAATACGTAAAACACATGCTTCAAGTATTCTTAAAATTATTTTCAATTTTGGTCAAATCGTGCGCAATTTTGGTATGATTTGCAGTTATATGACTCCGAAAGTTGCTACAATCCTTTAATGCACTGCCTCTATATACGTTATGTTTATCGGAAACATCATATCGAGATTATCATTAACAGCTTTCTTATTGTTATGGAGGATAAGGCAAATAGATATGAAAAGTAAAGACTGGGATAAACGGATATGCATTTTATTATTTGTAATTAGAACTGCATTTACGGTAAATTTTCTGTTAAATATGATATTTTTCTTCCTTTTTCATTTTAAAACAATAATAACTGAGTATCGATCAATAATTATTTTTAAAGATTCCATATCTAATAATTCGACAAATATCTGTCGAATATATTTCCGTAAGTGAAACATCTATTTGTTATTACAAATTTATTGATATTGCCCCTTACGATGTTGGAGGAATTGTCACGGACTTTTTTTATTGATATATATGTGACCACATGATTAATCCTTATATTAAAAAATGCCAATAAAAATGCTTCTCAATTGTCTTTAGATATTAGAAGCAAGAGAATATTATTCACAGCTGTTACGTACTGGAATTTTTTACGATTAATAATATCTTTCATCTTTCATCTTTTCACTATTTTGGATATATTTGAAATTACAGAAGAAGGTCCATCGATGACTGTGAAATGCATAACATACATTTTGCTATCTTACTTAATCACCATCGATGCTGAAATTGTTCATGCCATTGAAGGTAAAGGCCGATCGTCAAGAAGACCGTGAAATCTATTCAAAGTACTGATGATCATATATTCTCTATTTTATCCTCTAGCGATCAAATCCGCAGCCAAGTTATTGATAATGATAAAATAATAGTTGTGTCGATGAAAAGATTATCATTCTTTGAATGTGCAAGCACTGTATTAAAAAATGAGAATGATGATGATGATAGGAACCATGAGAATGATGAGATTAAAGATGATGATGAGAATGAAGATAATGATCGAAAAATTAATGACACAGAAATTTCAAATATGGAAATCATTACCCATTAATTTATGTTACATAATAGACTTTTTGTAAATATTTTTTTAAATGTTAAGACCCAATATATGTACTTTACTAATTATTTCCTTGTTATCGTATTGAAAATAATAAACGTGTAATTCATAACAAGCTCTTGAATTATCTTTGACTCACAATTAGAAAAAGTGGTATAGGCTTCAAAAAGCCCTCGTGGATTTTAATAGCCATGATTTATGAGTGTGAAAAAAATCTTACATAAAAAAAATAATTTTGTGTTATTGAAAATGGCAATACTAATTTTTATTATTATTACATCAATATGAAGCTGATCAAAAATCTAGGGTATACTACCCTGGATGCATCCTGGATTTTGATCAGTTTATTTGAATGTTTACCCTGGATTAAACTCTACCTAAGATAGATATTATCGCCTATCAACCAAGTTGACTGAATTTCTAATAGGTTAAAACTTAATTCCGGCTGGCATTAAAATTTGGCCGGAGTTACTCAAATATTAATCTTAATTTCGTCAAAAGTTTATATTAAATGTAAGGATGCTTTAAGCGTTTAACACAGGGAATCACAGCCTGGACAAAGACTTGGCCAGAATTATAAGTAGTAATATCAGATATACATATCATGTGATTTGTAATTTTTATTATAATTCTGGCCAAATTTTATAATTTTGGCCTAAAAAAAAATAAGGAAAAAAAAAAAATTCAAAAATCGTAAAAAATCATAAAATTGTATATCGACAAGTCATTTAAATAAAAATATATTAGAGAATTTAGAGATCAAAGGTAAGCATCGATTCCAAGATTTGTTTGCACGCTTACTAGCGAACTTAACGAACTGAGGACAGATGGTAGTTGAAATTTTGATGTTACTTTCAACTCGTACAATGGTAAAAACATAACTTTTGCTCTGACCGAGTAAATATAATTTTTATTTCTTTAGTTATATATCCCTTCAAGCCTTCTCCTCCAACAGGAGAACTGTCTTCCTAGCCACGGTCTAGGTTTTATAACAACCGTTGGTTAAGCGACCAATGTTTATCCAGTTAACGTTAAAGATTAGATAAAAGCGTTAAATATCGATCATAGGCTCAACTTCCGCTGTGTAAGATATATAAATACATTTAAGACGAAAAGAAATTTGATAGTTCCATAATGATTAAGATCAAAGCTACTATTTATAAAAATACCAAATTATTCTTTCTTTCTATGTAATGAAAGTTCAATTACCAAAAAAAAAATTTAGTAAGATTTCTTGTGGTCATCTTCCTTTATGTTTATAGTAGTAATAGTAACTATTCTTGTCATCATGTTTGTCTCCATCAGCTAATACATCAGCATCACGTCTGTAATATTTCACTTCTGGTCATCTTCGTGGTACTTCTTTCCATTTTTATGATCGTTGTAGAAATAGTAACTATCCTTGTCATGTTTGTTTCTATCAGCTGATGCATCAGCATCACGTCTGTAAAACTTCACTTCGTGGTCCTTCTTTACATTTTTATGGTCGTGGTAGTAGTAATAGTAACTAGTATCCTTGTCATTACGTTTGTCTCTATCAGCTAATGCATCAGTATCACGTCTGTAATATTTCACTTCTGGCCATCGTTGTAGAAATAGTAACTATCCTGTCATATTTGTCTCCATCAGCTAATGTATCAGTATCACGTCTGTAATATTTCACTTCGTGTCGTCTTTGTGGTCCTTCTTTCCATTTTATGATCGTAGTTATAGTAATAATAGTACTTATCCTTCTTCTTATCATCATCATAATAATATGGAGAAGTCAATGCGCCACGTTTATCATTCAATTCAGCATCAGCAGAAGGGTGTGAACAAGCATTAACTGGTAGATTTTTTTTGTAAAAAAAAAAAATTAGCAAATATTAACTTCATTAAATTATTATATACAAAGACTGAAACTCCTAAAATAAGAACTGTGAACTTCATTTTTTTTTAAATTTTATTACGGTCAACCTTTGATTCTCAAAATTATACAAACACAAATTTTTTCACCTCCAAAATCTCTTCAGTTCGATCTGAAATAAAAAGATTTTTTAAAAGTTCGTATATTTTAGATTGGAGAAATTCCTTCAAAATAGAAATCTCATTGTTATACCCAATCAACCCTTTTTTTAGCGATTGATTGAAGTTATAAAAATTTCTTTTAAAATAACTTAAAAGGAATATTCATAACTATCATATAAATAACATTTTATTAATAGGCCTTTTCTCGGGGAAAAATAATAATAATTAATTTCATTTTTTTTTCTATATACAAACTCAAAATAGTATGCATATATATTTTTAGTTTCCTTAATTTTCTTATAAAGAATTTAGATAACAAATCATATGTTGATCTACCAATCTTTGCAGGGCTGACATTATGTAATTCTCACCGGTGTTATCCAAAAAAGGAACATTTTACGTTGATTTTTATTCAATAAATTCTTGATTACATATGTAAGTAATTTCATAAAGTTAATGTACAATAGCTATTCATTTGACGTGATTTTCTTGGAATTTTAATATATCCTCACAGATATTAATTTTATAAATATATGCTCCGTCATGTATAATAGAAAAATATATTCAAATCAAAGTAATTTTTTCTTTATTTCGAATTTACTGAACAATGGAATAAATACATGAAAAACTAAAATTTGCGTCACAGTCTCACAGATTGGTAAATATTATTTTTATTTTTTTCCGTTCCTTAAGTAATTGATCTTGTAAATGAATAGCTTTATCGCATAAATTAAGAAGGTTATATTCGAAAATTCTAACTATAAGGTCAAAATATCGTTTAACGAGGATTTTATTAAGAGCATGAAATCATGAAAACAACCTTTTTAATTATTGTTTATCATACTATCGAAATTTTTGTAAAATAGAGACACCTTAAATTAGATTTTTCATAAGGAACATATTTTATAAAATTACTTTTATTTGCTTCCTTCGCTTCTAATCCAATAGTTGTAGTATGCGATCGAGTATACATTAGACCATACTATTAAAAGAATGATTTTTATAAAAAACCAGAATTATTGTTAATGAAAAAATTTTCTTTTATAGATAAAAATGTGATCGATAGAGAAACTATTGACAAAGTTGTAATATCAAAAAGCAGCTACCGATCGGTTATCAGACTTATGATCCGCATATTCAGGCTCGGCTGTTAAACGAGTTTAAAGATGAAAAGTTCACTACGTTAAACGTTCCAGCACACTTGTACATTAAAGAATTGAGGTGATATTGGATTATTAGACAACTTAGTTCAGGTTATTGATATTCGTTAATAAAATCTAATTTTTTATTTTTACATAAGCCAGATTTTATTTCATTAATTATTTGATCAAGCCATTATACCATTACTAAGGAATCGATGTTAAGATTATTGATTGAGTACTAATTTTTTTTTGCGGATCAACGAATTTGCACTTAAGCACTCAAGTGAATAATTTATTTCGTCTAAGAATAAAAAAAACATATATACAAATTACTTAATATATAAAATTATTATAAATTTACTAAATAATTCCTAATTCAGTAATTCCATAAAATTGAATCAGATAAGAAATAACCACTCCCTCTCAAAAAAACCCGTATCTGTTAGTAACATATAGTATAATTACCTCTTTTAAAAACTATTGATGAATTTATTAATGCAAATTTTGATGTATTTTTTCAAATATACATTATAAATCAAGGCGAAGCAATTTCAGACTTTTAAAATCTTGAGTTATGGATGGGAACCGGCTCGCGGTTCTATTTTGTCTCTTCAACATTGTAAACTGACCATCTTACTATTTACGAATTTCATCATTTTCGTCGTAAAACAAAAAATTTCATTTCATTTTTATGCTGTTTTACATCGTTCTACAAAGAGTATGGATAAAACAAATATACAGACACAAATATTTACACAATAGTTAATTGAAAATTAGTAATTAAATTCATTTGTCCTACGATTCTTAATAATAATTCATGATATTTTTTTCTTAATATTCTTACGGATGATTTTTATTTAAAAGATGGGTAAAAAGTCTATCAATATTGATAAAAAAATCTATTAATATTGGATATTATTAGTTTAAAAAGGTAGATTAAAAAGTTTTATAATTGGAACCGTGAAATAAATCAGTTATTCCACGGCCGCTGTAAATCAATAGTTCTCCGCGAAATATCAATCGTGTCGTGTATTGTATATATTGTACAGTTTTATCACAAAATTCTATTTAAATAATAATTTGAAATATTCTTTTAATGACGCAAAATCATGCATAATGAATATACGCGTAATATCTGATATTTGACGTTTATTTATTTCGTCATTATTACTATGGTCACACAAATAATCCAATTATAAAAACCCCGGAATTATTAACATAATGGGAATTATTGCTTCCATTTTTTACTACATATACTTTGAAAGAAAAACGCTTAAAAATTTTACAACTACAGTATCTAAACCGTTTCTTTTATTTTATTTTTATAAAATGTCCATACTCAATAAAGATATTCTTTTCCTAATATTTGAAGAATTACAAAATGATTCAAAATCCCTTTTTTTATGTCTAATGGTCAATAGACTTTGGTGTGAAACTGCGGTACCAGTTTTATGGAGGAATCCTTGGTCTTATCATTATACTAATTATAAAAGAAATAAATATTTATTCATCATTATTGCTCATTATTTATTTGATAATATTAAGGAATACATAACAGAGCAAAGAATCCAATTGCCTTCACTTTTAGACAAATCACTCTTATTCGATTATTTGTCCTTTTGTAAAAGTATCAATGTAAAAATTATAAACAGTATAATTTCTATTGGATCATCTTTAGCTTATAATCAATTTTTGATGCAACAAGAATTTTATTATTATTTCTTTATAAAAAAATCTTCAGAGTTAAAGTATTTAGATATGAGATCAATTAAGCATCAAATATTTTATTTTCCAGAATCTAAGGTTCATCTTGAATCAATTTGTGAATTAAGATGTGATACATCT